TATTTATTGCTTTCACTTTGTTTCGACCGGACAGTTCTGTTTTGAGTATTTGTTTTATTCTGTTTTTGTATTTGCTTTTTAGTTGCTGTTTTATGTTGGCATGCTCTAATCCTGTTTTTTGTAGGTATCCGAGGTATTTGTATGTCTCATCCATTTCCATATTCTGTATGATATTTGAGTCTTGTAGAATGTATTCTTCCTGTATCGAGTGTTTTCCATTTATAATGCTGTTTATTTTACATTTATCTGTTCCTAGTTTCATTTGGATGTCTTCACTGTATGTTTCTGTAATATTGAGAAGGTTGTTGAGTTGTTTTCTGGTTGCTGCATAAAGCTTTAGGTCATCCATATATAGCTGGTGCGAGATGGTAGATGGATGTGTGAGTGAGGATATTTTATAAGCATCTTGGGGCGTTTTGTTGAGTAGGTTCGATAGGGGGTTGAGCGCAATACAGAACCAGAGTGCACTGAGGGAGTCACCCTGAAAAATTCCTCTATTAATTTGAATTGGTTCTGTGTGGATGAGTTGTTTTTTCATTTTGATGTTTAGGGTAGTTTTCCATGTTGCCATGATTCTCTGCAGAAGTTGTATGATTTGAGGGTGGATTTTGTATATTTGTAGAACTTGTATGAGCCAGGAGTGTGGGACGGTGTCGAAAGCTTTCTGATAATCTATGTATGCAAAATGTAGAGACTTACGTTTTAATTTGGCTTGAGTGTGTATTTCTGCATCTATCACCAGTTGCTCCTTGCAGCCCCTAGATCCCTGACAGCATCCTTTCTGCTCTTCTGATATGATGTTATTATTCTGCTGGTGAGTGTTGATCTTTGTTGTTATTATTGCCGTTAGTAATTTATAGGTTGTTGATAAACATGTTATAGGGCTGTACTTAGATGGGGTGAAGTGTCCGTGCCTTTGGGTTTAAGGTAGGTAACTCCCTGAGTTAAAAAAGAGGGGATGGCTTCCGTTCCTTGTACAAAATTTTGTAATATATTCGTTAGTGGTTTGTGGATGCTTGTGAATGATTTTAGCCAGTAGTTCTGTATTTTGTAGTCTCCAGGTGCTTTCCAGTTGTGTGTCTTGGATATGGCAGCTTTGATGTCTTCTAAGGTGATTGTTACATTTGGCATGGCTGTTGTATTTATCTGCTTGTTTTCTTCTTCTGTTATCCATTGAGCTTCTCTGTTGTGTTCTACTGCTTGTGACCAGATATTTTCCCAGAAGTTTTTACTTCTGTAATAGATGGTGGATTGTTTATTTGCTGTTCCGTTGTTTCGAGAGATCTGTAGAACCTTTTTTCATTTGTGTTGAAAAGTTTGTTTTCTTGTTTTCTTTGGTGGCTCTTCTTGTATCGTTTTAGTCTTTTTGCTTGTGCCTGTAGTTGTTGTTTTTAGTATCTAATATTTCTACTACTGATTCTTCTGAGCTGATATCTGGTAATATGTTTTGCGGGGGTCTCTTTTTTAGGTTTCCTTTCAAATGTTGTGTGATGACTCCAATTTCTTTCTTCAGTGTGGCTATCTTTTTCTGGAGCCGATGCTGCCATGGGGGTATTGCTGCTTTAGTTTTAGTTAAGTCGTTGTTTTTATTCTTCTGTTCGTGGGTTCGCATAGTTGTTGCTGCTCCACAGTATACGAGCGTGAGAATTTCTTCAATGTCTAGGTAGCTGTTTGATTCCTCAATCCTTTTTCCTATGATGTTATTAATTATTGCAATAGTGTTTTTGATGTTTTGTGTGTTTTGTGGTCTGGTAATGAAAAGTCTGGATGATGGGTTTGCTCCCTGGTATTGGGCGTATAGTTCATTAAATGTTTCATCAATTTGATTAGATGGTTGGCATGTGTCTGTTGGCGGGATTGATGTTTCGTGTTGGGTGTGTCTTATCGACGATTCTGCTGATGAACTTTGTGTGTTAGTCAGCATGGTATGTGTTTCGGATGTTTCTGGTGTGATTGTTTGTGGGTGTGATGTAGGTGAAGCTGATTGTTGTGCTTTATTATTATTATTATTGACTGCATGCTCACTTAAATTTTGAGTTTTTTCTAAAATAAATAATATAAATAATCATATCATTTCTCCGGAAGATGGATTGGAAATGGTAGAGCAGTATAATGGCCATCGAGGTTCCTGGACCGTCGCCAAGAGGCAGAGGGGTGTTGTATTACTTATCATTTGTAAAAGTGAAATCATTATTTTCCAACATTTACAATAAAGAGTAGGTACATGCATTTGGAAGTATAAGAAGAAGATATGTTCAAAGAGCTATAAATAAAATTGAACCAATAATAAATTTGTGCAATAGGTAGGGTTGTAACCCTTTCGAACATGTAGAGCATTAAACAGTAGTTTGTAGAAGTTGATTTATTTATAATAACGACGATTAATATTATGCATATTATTAGATTGTACACTTAGATTTCAAATTCATAATAAAAAAAAGTTGAAAATAATATTTTTAAATTGCTGACCTGGTTATTATTTATTTGAATCTTTCAATTGGCTCGATTTTTCTTATTCATTGTTAATTAGCGCTGATCAATTGTTGCGATGAATATAATCAGAATAATTTTAAAAACCAGACTTGGACTTGAAATTATTTTAAATAATAATTAAATAGTTTTGTTGTTGTTAAGGTACCAAAAACAAAAAAAAAGTATCAATCATTGTATGCAGGCATATCATTGTACTCAGGACACTGAGTTCTTTCAAAAACTGAAATAAAAAATGCAGGTCCGTATTTAAAAAAATTAAGTTGGCCTATGTATCTCACAAATTATCAGCTAATTCGAAAATCTAAAAATACTATAATATCAGATAGCCCTAATAAAGTGGCTATCAGAATTAGTTTTTTGATCTTCTAAAAAGTAACGGCAGGAAAAAAAAATTAATTTTCAAAGAAATCTATTTTTTTCAAAAAACTCAGCAATCCTTGAAATTTTTAAAACTTTTTTGATGGCATCTTGATAAACAACCAAAAGCGCAACTTTGCCCCAATTTAACCATCTTCGTATCTATTATGGTTTCCGAGATAACAATGCTCGTATCGCGAATTTGTAGCACCCTGTATATGATACTTGCTTTTGTATCATGCTTTTGCGTTATGCAGCCTTACAGATATACCTATGCTAAATATGATGAATTCAAGTTAATAAAATAATTATACATATAATGTTTTTTTTTAATTATTTCAGACTGATATTTACAATAATTTAATGAAATATGCGATGGAAACTTTATACATTATAAAATACGTAAAATTGGAAAATAATGGAGTATTTCCATTACATACTTATTTGTATATATCCGTTGTCATCTGAATATTATACAAATCCTTGTAAATTATTAAGAAAATTTATTATATAAAAAAAATAGTTTGATAAAATTTACAAAAATTATTACACTAAATTTGGATACTTTTTAGTATTGTTTTCTTTTTTTTGCAAACTGCAACGGTTTTTATCTTTTTATTATTATGACATATATTTTGTAATTTATCTTTACTATATAAATTTTTCGTGCATATTCACAACAAAAATATTTTTGCCACAAGTATGTATTATATTTCTGAAGATTTATAGCTCTAGATTAAATCACATGCTTTTGATAACGATCCCAAATCAATAAAAAACGTAGTCTGTATTTTTCAGGACAAATGATTTGCCACAAATTTATTGTTATTAGCCGATTTGGAGGCCTATGACACATCGCTTTATCTGAGATTGGAAAGATTTTTTATATTTGCGAAATTTATATTGTATTTGTCGATAAAACATTTACTTGTTTTTAAGTGAATGATATCAATTAAGAAATCACTTAATTTGTAATTGAATGAATAGCTACATTGTTTACGTGATTTTATAGAAAAATATTTGTGATACGTATATTCTCACGTATTATTGTTATAAGCAAGTTAATACCAAACATTAGGTATGATTTCGTTTGTTCTTAATCCTTGTTAATGCTATATTAAATAAAGTTTAAACGTTAAATTGGGTTTAAAATAGATTAAATAACTAAATATTAATATATATTTTGAATATTGGGATATTCTTTTATACTGACTATAATTATGTAATGAACAGAATATATTTATTCTGTAAACTTTGCTATAATGTAGCGCCTTTAAATGGGCACCCGTTTACTTTAATATGTAGAACGTGGCATTTTTTAATATAAAATTATAAATATGCGTCTACCACAAAACAAATTTATACTCAGTTGCACCATACATCAGAAGATTTGGCCTGTAGATTTAGTCCACAGAGTTGGCCTGTCAAGTACCAAAACTTACGTATTTTAGGCTGCGAACTTGGCCAGCCGATTTAGTATGCCGATTAGATCTTTGCCCGATTAAATATTCTCGTTTGGGGCAAAATTCGACATATTATATCAGTTTTTATACCGGGTGTGTCTCAAAAGTGGCTAACCCCTATAATTTTTTTAGATTTCAGATTAAAAACAAGATTTGGTATGGTACTATTGATTGACGTATTCAACTGTTTTTGGTCACTTCCTGTTTCACCGGAAATGCCTACAACTTTTTATTTTTAAATGACACCCTCGATATTTTTTTTTACTTTATTCGATAGAAAATGACACTCTGAATAGAATAACATATCATATGTCAACTTTTGACATTTTCGCATAAATATGGTTTATTTGAATTTGTAACAAGCGGTTCATATCGACAATTTGACTCAAAATACCAAGTGTGCGGTACCAAATTATTCGTAAAAAAATGTTTTTTCCAAATATGCTAATGAGCCACCTTTGGTTCATTCCGCCAAACGCTTAGCCTGCCATAAACTTGGTCCGCCACATAAACACAGTCGCAGACCAAGGCTGCAGGCCAAATCCGCAGGCGGGGGGCTAATGCCTAATAGGGAGGTTTCGTTCGAGTGAAGGCGTAATATGCACTGTCAGAATTCGAAACCAAGAAAGGTAATGCAAGAGGAACTAATATAGAGATATAAAATAAATTATTTGGTTTTAAACTTACCAAAATCTGGAGGAAGTGCGTGAAATGGAACTATATAGACTTGGCTCTTTGTCGATAAACTAGAAACGCTTCGTTCGTATCTTCTCGTTACATCTTCTGTCGTTCGTACTTGTACTGGTAGTCCTTCTAAATTATTATTCGATTATTATAAACTAATCGAAAAAAGTTAAGGATATTGTGCTTTCGCTAGAAAGAAAATTTTTCAGAAAAAATGTATTATAGCTATTAATACCTATGTCGTTTGTTATTAAAAAAATACTGTTTGTAAATACAAAAAATTGTATCCAAACAAATAAAAAGCATTATCATCAAAAATGTACATTTAATTTTTGTTTCGGTCGTTAAGTCTTGTATTTCTTAGTCTCCACACACGAACTGTACGTCTGTCAGTACGAAAACAAAAGCGGCCTTCATCGCTGCACATCGCAGTATGCCACTCATCATTCCAGTTAGCTCTTTCATTACACCAGAGCAAACTTTGAGCTTTATAACCTCAACCTGACTCTCGCGGCCAACGGAGGTCGTCTTATAGGCCTATAGGAATGTAAACCTGCTTTTTTAATCGATTTAAGACCGTTTGAGGACAAATACGTAGGTACCCTGCTGGCAGCCAAAAGGTCCTGGCTGAGCAACGTGTAGTTTATTGCAGGATCCATACGAGCTCCTCTTAGTAAGCTTCGGTCCTCCCTAGCATATTTGTCGACCTTTGTCTACCCTCCCTATGCCTCTCCATGACTCCAGTGAGATCCAGTGAGATCCAGTCTCATTAAATCGGTTTTTAAGTCTAGAAATTACACTTTAGGTGACTTTAAATCGGTCAGCCACATCGATCTGTCGCGCACCGCCAAGAACCAACCCATTGGCTTGATTTGCTTCCTCTATGACGTCTGTTCGTATTATCGATGACAGAATAACCACAATATCGTAACCTGCCGCTTAGCAGCACCCAAACAAGTTCTATTCTAAACAAAAATTAAATGTATAAATACTTTTTTGATGATAATGCTTTTTATTTGTTTGGGTACAATTTTTTATGTTTAGAAACAATATTTTTTTAAACACAAACGACATAGGTATTAATAGCTATAACACATTTTTTCTGAAAAATTTTCTTCTTAGCGAAAACACAATATCCTTAACTTTTTTCGATTAGTTTATAATATTAATTAAATTGGCTCTAATGGTAGTGTTCAATTTATTTATGTTTTAACAGAGATACATATCATTATTACTAAAGTCACACATTACTAAACAAACACATTGCAATCGTGGAGCAAATGTGATTTACAATGTTGTATTGCTAATAGTTACCTGTAACTGGAATAATGTACAAATCACTGTCGGGGGTTGGCATTCGACGAATTTGCTTTCGTTTTATAATTCTTCTTCGTTTTCTTTTTCTTTTACCTGAAAAGAGTTGCAATTATTAAACGAAAATAATAATGAGAAAACCCTCTACAGAGTGGCACCCGAGATCTTTATTTTTAAATAAAAGTATGTTATACAGGGTCGCTTTTATGTATGGAAACGGTCGATTATTAGGTAAAATATACAAGATACCGCAAAAAGTTAAATACAAAAATTATAGCGTTTTTAAATGTCTATTAGCGAGTAATAAATTCATGTATACAGGGTCGGTCATAAAGTCGAGACACATCAAAGTTTCATTTTTTTTAAACCCCCTGTATATTATTGCATATTTCAATTCTTCCTTCAATTCTATGCAAAAATCGAAATACACACAATGTACCTCAAATCAACCGTTAAAAAATTAAAATTTTGATGTGCCACGACTTTATGTCCGACCCTGTATACATGAATTTATTACTCGCTAATAGATATTTAAAAATCCTATAACTTTTGTATTTAACTTTTTGCGATACCGCCTATACTTTACCTAATAATCGATCGTACATAACAGCAACCCTGTATAGTAAGTAATAATAGTATCCAGAATCGCCTTTTCAACATTCATATTACATCAAGTTGCATCCATATTTGAGGGAATATAATATTTTTACAGACGATTATCCAAAAAAATGTAATGGAAAAAAATAATGACGTCCACTGTCAATATCATTTATTCTTTAAATGGATCTTTATACCTATAGGAACATTTATATATGAAAATATTTTTTTGATAAATAAGCAATACGTTTAATTGAAACATGAAAATAAGAGACCAATCGAATTAGAGGGGTAACTTAGAAATAAGTGTTGAAAAGCTATTTATTGTTTTGATTGGTTCATTTGACGTGAAAAAGAAGTTTCCTCAGCGATGGCTATAAAATGAAGATCGCTGTCATTTTATATGGGGAATGTCATCGATGTTGATTTCCAAGCCAACTGAACGCCGTTTTTTTTTGGATCATACGGTAGATAAATATCAAATGCGAGTTTCCATTCTATGGAAAATCTGGCCATCAAGGATTTTTAATTATTGCAATTTAACTGAGAGGTGATAAAGACGTGTTTTGTCGAGTTGAGATTTGTTTTGTAAGCGGATTTTTTTTGGTGGTGGATTAGTGGTGTTTTGGGTTTTCTTTGAGCCACCGGATTTGTGGCAGATGCTACTTCGCTAGAAACGTCGCCGTCAAATCACCAGACTTCTTCAATAAAGAGATATTATTAAAATGTTTTTAAGATATTATTTTGGATCGACAAGACTAGAAATTAAATAAAATTATATTTATAATAAAATGTTCTAAAAATATGTTGGAAACTTATGACGAAGCGTCTAGTTCAAAAATATGAACCTATCAACAGACTGATTTATATTACTCGTTATATTTTTATTTAATAAAGATTATACCGTAAATAGACGCAGATTTTTAATTTAGAAACATAATTTATGACGATGGATGGTGTTAACAACACATAGGTTTTAATTTTAAACCGCAGCTGATAAGATTTTCATTTTTGTCACAATTTAATAGCACTGAACTGGTATCAACAACATCATAAATTTTCCAATACGTATATTGCCTGAAACCTATTGTCCGACGTGAGAAAAAAGTAACGTGACAGTTACTGTCTGTCATTTTAATTCAGTGGATTGTATTTTCTGTCATTCTTTGGATGTGGTCTGTCGAAGTCGTCCTTATCCTCTCAGCGAACAGATTTTATATTAAAAAGCTTAATGTTATATGTGGTTTAATTTTTGCACTTTTATAACAATGTTTTCAATATCAAATTGTCATACATTTTAAATATATTTACATATTTTAATAGTCTAGTGACAAAAATATGTATTATTTTGATATCTACAATGAATCTAATCTAATTATTTTGAAAGTATATTTGTTGGAATAGACTAATATTATTAGTAGGAACACCCTGTATATTATTGAATTTTTACCTTCCTTTCAGATCACTTTATATGATTCTAAAATATGAGTAAATATTTGTCGATAGTTTCAGAGATATTAATAAATAAATAAAAAATATATATTTTTCAGTTTTTCTAAAAAAAATATTGAAAATACAAGAACTGTCCTGAAATTAAAACTATATTAGGTATTTACTTTAAATAGTATAAACTTACTTTGCTATAAATATCGCAATCTTAAATCATACAAGATATTTAAAATTCTACGCCAAACTTTCTAAAATACAAAATTTTTTTTTGTTTTTTTTTTAAATGGAACGCCCTGTCAGTGGCGTAACTACCGATGTGTCGTGAGTGCGAAGCACACGGGCACACCGCATTTCCATATCTATCACATGCTATGTCGAATCAAGCAGAATCGGGCGATCCTGAACTAAATTCTTATCTATCACAGGTCTTCTTAACTACTTAACTAGCACACGCTATCGCGAAAATAACTTATTACTTTACACTTGTTCTTGTGCAATTTTGTAGCTGTGTTTTCCTGTTTATTTTGCAGAATAAAAATAACTGGAAATATGTGATTTTTCATTAGAGCATTAAATTTGACAAAAAAGGAAATTTGCTGTATTGTCACTGGATTTCTGTACCATCGAATAGAAATAGAACTAAGCTAGTTGTAGCATCAAAAAGAGCATGAAAAAACTATACTGGCCAAACTTCTTCTTCTTGTGCCATGTGATGTGTGTCATCAGTGTTTCACAAGTACACGGGACCTACAGTTTATCACCGAATCCGAACGACACTATTTGAGAGGCTGTACAAGGCAAATATACTCAAGGTGGTTTGCCATTGCCTTCCTTGGGGTGGCGGCTCGTTGGTTGCTCTATATAAATAAATAAATATTTTTATTTAAATAAATAAAGCGACCGTACTGGCTGGGGAGCGAACCCAGTAACTTCGACACACTAACGCTGGAGCTACGACCGGCCACCTGGAGCTACGGCCGGCCACTGTATTTCACTGGATTTGGAATTTCACTGTTGTCACTGGATTTCTGTACCATCGAATAGAAATAGAACTAAGCTAGTTGTAGCATCAAAAAGAGCATGAAAAACTATACTGGCCAAACTAGTTAACTCAAAATCACAAAAACTCTAGTTACCTAATGGTTGTATTAAGGGGACGATAAGGCAGCTGAGTTAAGAGAGGTGCCCAAAACTGCCACTTTTTTTGGCAATTATTTCAATAGAAAATAAAGTTGCTCCTACAATAGACATTGGTAATATTGTGTCAACTTTCGCCCATGCTAAAGCAAGGAAAAAAGAATTTTAACATGTTCATGTTCCTATTTACATTGTTTATTTTAATTTAGTTAGTTTTGTTGTGGTTTTTTGTTTTGTATTTATTTATTTTTTTATTTATTTGATATTTTATATGTTTTGGGTTACATATTCTGTGTTGCAGTAATAAATAATACTATATAAAAATTAATTTGATAATGTTATTTCTAACCTAAAATATGAGTGCATATTATTCAGATTACTATATAAGTATTGTAGGTGTAATAGGGGGCCCGGTAAAATTTTTGCACACAGGCCCGTGAGTCTGTTGTTACGCCACTGCGCCCTGTATATTATTCTTTTTATTAGATGGGGAATTAAAAAATGAACGTTTTTTGTATTTAAAGAATTTCAAAATTTTTAATGGTTTTGCAGATACGCGCAGTATTATTTCATACAACGGTTGGCTCTTACAACGGTAAAATACGAGAGAAAAATCATTAGGTGGCTTTGGTAAAAATTTACTGCGGAAAATGCCATATGAAATATAAAACAGCAAATACCGTATGTTCGAATAAAAACGGCGTCAGCGATGGCTATGAAATGAACATAGATGACATTTCCCATATAGATTTACATAAAAATGACAGCGATCTTCATTTCATAGCCATCGCCGCTGACGCCATTTTTATTCGAACATTCGATCATACTGCGAAACCATTAAAAATTGTTTTTGTTTGTTTGTTTGTTGTTTGTTAAATACAAAAAATGTTTATTTCTTAATTCTCCATCTATTCAAAAAATAATATACAAGGTGTTCCATTTAAAAAAAAAGGAAGAAAAATTATTTTAATAGGTGCTACAAATGCCCGACGCACTGTTGCCGGACCCTGTATAATCTCGGATGTCTGCAGGTCTACAAAAATATTGTTCGGCTTTTTTTTATTACATTTATCGAATCGCTTCCTTTTCTAAAAAAAAAATCATCGGACGCCACTGATTTTATAAACAAGTTCAAAATTATTATGCCATACTGTAAATGTTTTTAATTTTTAGTTTATCTATTATGTTATTTTAAAATTGTATTTTTATTACATTTTTTTGATTTTTTTAAATTATCTAACCCGTGACTAAAAAACTAGCTAAGTAGAATTAAATCTATTACCTAATCCATCATGGCACCCGATTAATCAACCTATATTTTATCTACTTTGAAATGTGATTTTAGGCACACTTTAAAAAAATTAATACGTAAAAATAAATATTAACTTATTAAAGGCCGTTTACTGACAATTAAACCATTTTCAAAGTTAATTAATATTTAGATATTTGGCTAGGATTAATAATTATTGTTCTTACGTCATTCCTAATGAGAAACAAATTAGGACGTGTGTGATTTAAAATATTTAAAAACTCTTAATGAGGAAGATGCATATATTTTATTTTTCGCCAGAAACTGTTCAATTTATTAGAATAAATATGTGTAAATGCAAAAAAAAACTTTTTTCTTGAAAGCAGTACCACAATTTTATAAAACGGGCCATTATAATACTATGGACAACGCAAACGACGCCTCGAGAATTGAAACGATATTCTATTGGTCTGACGTCACCCGCCGTTCTCGTCGACGCGCGATGGCCAGCAGCAGCCAGACGTGTTCCGTTTATGTACGTATTTAGGTGGCGTAATAAGACATTTTTGTTGCTTTTAGCGTTGATTGAAGGAGCTTTTTATGCTTTTTTGTGCAGTTATTATTTGTATGTGTTATGTGTTCTGAGAATTTTTTAAGTAATGGC